ATCTGTCATGCAAGAAAGTGAAAGGTTTAAAGGGAAAGGGGCCAGTAATGTAATTATCCCTCTCGTGTTTTAGACTGTGCATTCCTGTGTGCAGAACTATCATAATGTGTTTCAAAAATTCCTCCCCTATTCCTCCCATTTAATTCAAAATTGTATAAGTAATGACAAGCAAAAGGTATATTCCTGAATATTTTTGTCATCAGTGAAAAAAAAAAAAATTGCGCATTTCTTAGCCCAAACGCCATAAGGTATATAAGACCCCTTTTGTAGTATCACAATTCATTCTATCAATATTTGGAATGGGTTAAAACTTTGTTTTAGTTATATTATTCAATTTTGTGATATTCTACTCATGGATGTGGATATTTTCCTTCAATCTCCACAAGGGTGATAGATAATTTGATGTACCTTCCTCTATTATATGACCTTCAAGAATTTGATTGATTTCATTTCTTAGTATCTCTTTTCATTGAGGAGAAAATCTATATAGGTTACATAAGTTTTTTCTAGGTTTTTCATTAAATATTTTTTTTATTTTCAAAATTACTTCTTCAATTTCCTTTATTTTATTTTGAGACAAGTCGACTGGTTTCAAGAATTTCATCAACTATTTATAATGATTCAGCTTTTAATTGCATCTACCAACATAATTTCATTAATTGCCTTCTCTCTCTGAAGATATGGTTTTATAACATTGTGATGATAAAATTTATCTACAATCTTACCATAATTGAAACATCTAATTGAATAATTAGTTTCCAATTTCTTTTTTATTTTCCCTGGACCTTTCCATTTCTTTGATAATTTCTCTTTCCAAGGATTCATTATTATGACTTTGTCCCCACCTTTCTTTACTTTTTTTATCATAATAAATTTTAAGATCTTAATTTTGCTTTTCATTTCACAAAACTTTCTGAGAGTACTGATAATTTAAAAGACATATTCTATTGCTCTTTCTGCTTTCTCTTTTTCAATACCTTTCCATATTGATTTCTATCATAAACAAATCAAGTTGAGGTAAACCAGTTGTTTCATGAACTGTTGTTTTGTGAAGCAAATAATATACTGAGAGACATATCTGTTCTGATCATCCTCCTGTTCTAAACACATTCCTTTCAAAAGCCTTTTCATTATTCTATGCTATTTTTGTACACTGTTACTCTGAAAGTGATCTGGAGAACTATGAATAATTTTAATTCCTAAATCCTCTAAAAGTACTGCAGTTAATTTGCTCATGAAGGATGTGTCCAAATCACTCTGAATATCCTCCAGAAACCTTATTCCACTGAATAAGTCAGGTAGTGTATGTATAATTGTTCAGGAACTGGTATTGCCTCAAGAAATTTTATTGTCACCCAAAATGTTAAACTGTAAAAATATACTTATTTCCACTCATCATAATCTATACAGTCCACATGTATCAAGAACTTGGTTTTTAGCATATTTTTTTATCTCTTTATAGCAATCCAGTCAAAAGAAATATTGATTTAAATTACATTTAGTTTTAGTAATGCCTACAAGAGCTCCTAAACTTTGTTGAGCTGATTTCATTAACTTTTCTCTCATTGCTTTAGGTATTACAATTAATAAACAAATATGTTTACCCATATTAGAATTTTCAAACACTAATAAATTATATTTTAAAATATATATAATTTTCAATTGATTTAAGTTAATCTTGATTTCATGTAAACCTTAATTTTTCTCTAGTTATTCTATCAGAGCTTTGTTATCTACCTCAATCCAACTTTCTATTTTCTGCATTTCAGAATTTAATACAATCTTATTATTGCTATCATTGTTTTCCTATTTTAAAGAATATTCTCTTCTTCCGTGAGTCAAGATCCATACACAGTAGATCATGTACCGCACATACCAGAAGCATTAGCTGTCATGGTGTCATAAGTACCCACTCGTCCATTTTATAACTCAGTTTCAAGTGTAGACACACAAGCAAGCTACGATCTTTTCATCATGAAACATTTTCTTTGTCTATTGTCAGTAGAATATACTGTTTATGTTTGTGAAACAAAGCATTATATAAAAATGTTATATCCACTATTACAGAAGGAAGAGAGGGCTCTGAAAGGGGTGAAGCCAACCTCTCAAGGGGAGTAAACCCCGACACAAATCTCGGACCTCTAGATTGGGGGTTGGCGCAATGAGCACGCACCTCATTATCCAGAAAAATTATTAATTTGCAAAAAAATTTGGTTTTGGCTTGGCAATGGAAAAGAAAGTTATGACGAATCCAGCAAAGGAAACTGGATACTTGAATATCGGATGTTAGAACATTCAAGGGAAAAGAACAATAGAAGAAGAGGTTTTTAAAGAGTTTTCTCTTCACAATTTGGTCATGGCAGTGCTGAGTGAGACAAACAAGAAAGGAGACTACATATACTTCTATAGTGGAGTAAAGAAGGAAAAAAGCCAGAGCTGGTGTCTCCATAGCCTTAATATAACAGACTGGGTATACATAAATGAAAGAATTATTACCCTAGAAATGCAGATATTTGGGCATATTTTGGTAATAATTGAAATACTCCTACGGATGATTCAATGAGTGAAATAAGGAAGATTTCTTCAATGTTGTATGAGAGAAACATTGATTAAAATAGGAAATACGAAAGAAATTGAACTCTTAGGAGTTTTTAATGGATGAGTGAGAACTAAAGTAAATGATAATGTGATAAGAAAGTATAGAGAGGATGCATTGTCATTAATGGCATTAGATTAATGTGGATCAGACCACCGCCTACCAAAAGCTAGTATACATTTAACGTATCATCATTATACAAAAAAGGAAAATGAAGAAAAGCAAGATCACGGGAGGAACCCAAAATATAACTTAGATGGTCCTAAAGATGAATCAATGGGATTTCTCTACAATACAAGAATGGCTGAGAAAATGAAGAGTGCACATAATGGAAATCCTGAGCAAATGTATGACACCATAAAGAACAATACATCAATCTGCAAAAGAAGCTTCGGGAGAAAAAAATTAAGAAATAAAACAAATACAAATATATGGTGGAATGAAGAATTAAAGGAAATAGTGAGAGAAAAGAAGATACTATATAACCTTAGGTTGAGTTCAAAGGACCCTGAGGATAAAAGAATATATAGGAGGATATGCTACTTGACGAGAGAGAGAGAGAGAGAGAAAAAAACGAAAAGAAAAAGAAAAAGAAAAAAAGAAAAGAAAAAAAAGAAAGAAAGAAAGAAGAAAAAAAAGGGGGGAAAAATCATCCAATTGAAAAATAGATTTTGGGAACAGAAATGTATGAAAATAGACAGTTTCTTAAGTAGCTCAAGCTTAGAAAATTGTAAGGACGCTAAATACAAATAAGAGAGAAAAACTGACAAAAGATCCAATTAGACAATTGAAATGGAAAGAGTACTACAAAGAGTTATTTACAGAAAACCACCAACAACTTTGTAATGTGGAGTATTACCAAAAACAAGACTTAAATAATATGCAGATTAAGATTTCAGTTGAAGGAGAGAAACAGGAACTAAAAATAATGAAAAATAATAAATCACCTGGTCCAAATCATTTGGCTTCAAAGCAGTTTGAGCTAAACTGCACACTCTTTGGAGAATCTTTTTGCAATGTTTTATCATGAAATATCTCAAATATTTTATTACTAGTAACAATCTGCGAATTCACACAGTGTAGTAAATGAATTCAGTTAGAGGTGCCAGGAAGATAAGTTGAATGCCTTCTAAACAGAATCATTATCCAATACAATTGAACATTCCATGAGATTTCCAACTCTGATGTTGGCACGCCAAATTCAGGATACTCAGTTTTAACTTTAAATGCAATAAATTCTTCTCCATATTTTAATTCTTCCTCTCTCATAATATCAGAGAAGAATGTTTTGACTTGCAGAACGCCATCAGAATTGTTGGCATTTAAATGTGCGATTTAAATTTGGAAGGTTCAAATCAACATTCACACTTTATGAATTTTTTTCTGATTTTTGAGATTGCTCCTGTAATTATGACATATCTGCTATCAAACTTAAAATGTTCTCTCTAATTGGTTCAGATAACTTATTATTTTCTAATTCTGTATTTTCAGAAACTTCACTCATTTTTCTTAAGCATTTATCACCCCACTTGTCTACAAATGTATAATTTTTTTTTTCTTTCATGTTTGGAGGTACATAAAGTCTCGACGTTTTCAAAATTTTCTCAAAAATTGTACCAAATGTTTCTTTATATTTTAAGACAAAATGTGTCCTCCGCTTTATTGTGTAGATTGCATTTTCGTTGCACTCTCTACATTTTAGAAAATTGCTAAAGTCCAATTTTTTGAGGTGTCTTCCTACAACTACAACAATGAAAATAGATTTTTCTTCCTTAATGAAATTTGTTCATCAAAAACAGACCTTTAAATAAGGTTACGTTCAAATTAGAGAAAATATGACTAGTTTTTGCATAATGTTGCCGGAAGCGTCGACAATGTTTTAAACACATAAACAATTAGTTTTTGAAAAACGTCTCCAATTTTTCTTTTTGCCGCTAAGCAGGGGAACAGCTGACTACCATGGATGAATCTATGTGACAACGTTACAAATTCATTTAAATTTATCTTATTGCTACTGATTTTACCAACGAGAAGCTGCAGTTAATTATAACAAGTGGTATTTTATCTCTCTCGCACGCTTGCATTCAGTCGAGACACTTCTTCGATAAGCAATACAAAAAAGGAGCGAGAATTACTCTTCGAATATCACGCCAAGATTATTGGTCCCCCACTACAATACTCATTACCCAAGGATCTTGCCACTGTCGCAAACGTACCGATCTTATTTTCAGTATCTATTCACTTCTAATCTTGGGGAGAATTAATTGTTGTAACAGAAAATTACAACATTCACTATCATTCCGTTTTTCAATATTTCTTAGAAAAAATAAAAGAAATAATTATGTTTTTGGGTTTTGAGGTTTACGCATGTTAGTACTTATTGTATTGGCTAGCCTGGCCCAGCTGGAGATTACAAGGATTACGGGCCATATAAACAGAAAACCACGCGTTACCACTGTCAACACCGTTTGACATTTGCGTGCGTGGCCTTGCGTCGTGTGATTGCTGGCGGCGTGAGCGGCTGTCAGATTGTAACCTGCAGTTTATTTGAAGTATTTTCTTGCACCTCTTTATTTTATTTATACTGACATGTCGAAAGTTCTACGCAATACATTGAGAAGTTGCGTTAATTTAACGACTTTAGGAGAAAACTGTTTATTTGTAAAATGTTTCAGTTCTAGTTCACTAAGGTAATGTTATATTAGTTTTCATGAATAATTAGTTTAAGTTTTTTGAGATTTTATAAAATACTTTTCTTTGTGTTTTTTATCTGTAGATACAGAGCAAAGATTATTGATGGTGTTAAGATAGCTAGAGACATTCGTAATGAATTGAAGGCAGAAGTTAATGAATGGGTTGCTCATGGAAATAGACAACCCCATTTGACAGCAATTCTTGTGGGAGAAGATCAAGCAAGTCATGCATATGTATCAGCTAAAATGAAAGCTGCGAAGTATGTAGGTCAGTATAATTGCTGTGTGATTTTGTTTTCTCCCAGAAGTGCATATTCAGAATTTGTAATAATTGTTTGGAATCTATAGGAATCACTAGTGAGACTATCAAATTACCAGCAACCATATCTGAAACATCACTACTGTCATACATTGATCAATTAAACAATGACAATGGAGTTGATGGAATTTTAGTACAGGTATGTGCTTGAGTTCTCATTGAAATTATAAAAGAAAGTGTATCCATCTTGCTGAAAAGATTGACATGTTTTTTTGGTGTTACATGCAGCTTCCTCTGCCTGAGCACATTACAGAGCGAGCTATCTGTAACGCTGTTACACCTCACAAAGATGTTGATGGTTTTCATATAGTAAATGTTGGTCGTTTCTGTTTGGACATGAAAACTCTAGTACCATGTACTCCCCTTGGTGTCCATGAGCTCATTAAGAGATCAGGTGAGATGAAAGGTAGATTATATTTTAGTATTGATCAAAATATAAATTCATCCTTTCCATATAATTGAACATTAAATCTGAATAACAGTATTGTGCACCCAGTGTATACACAGAATATTGATTTCTGTGTTTACACTGTGTCTTAGATCGAAAAATACTTATGCTAAATTTGCTTTATTGTCAGTGATTTATCTTTTGTTGATGACGCTTTAAGACTATTCGTAAACCCTGATTCGTTATTGCCAGAACTGTCAAATATCATTGATATAATTTCCTTCATTAATGATAATTTTAATACCTTGATATTAATATGAAGACACATAAAAACATTATGTAAATTCTCTCCTAATTTCCTTGCTTGATATATTTTTGAGTGTTGATATCTCTTACAAGCAGAATCATAATGTTGGAAAACAACTTTTATTAGTAATTGCAATGTAAGTTAAAATTCTCTAGTTTATTTATTTTCAAAGCTGTTGAATTAACTTTTACAAATATTACAAGTTTTAAACTTTTATATCCCCAAACTACCTCTCTCTTTAATTTTTTTTTTTTTGGGG